CCCCCCCCCCCCCACACCGCTGCTTCAGTGAGATAAAGGCAGCAAAGGGAGGGGAAGGGGTATTTCAAAGCGGCAGTGCGCCACAGCTGAGCCAGGGATCAGCCGTGTGGCACTGCCCCTTAAAACAGCCAAAGCACCATGGAGCCTGGGGTCAGCTGGGGACTCTCCAGCTAACCCCAGGTTCTAAGTGGCATTTCCCTAGAACCCAGGGTCAGCTGGGGACTGCAGTGACCCCAGGCTCCATGGCTGCCCCTTTGCAACATGGAAGCAGCGTTTTAAAGGAGCAGCTTCCGCACAGCTGATCCTGGGCTCAGCTGTGTGGCATTACCCCTTTAAAACACCACCTTTGCATTTCAAAGGGGCAGCGCCATGGAGCCTGGGGTCAGCTGGGGACTCCACAGCTGATCTTGGGCTCCTGAGCATTTCAGCTGAGCCCAGAGTCAGCTGGGAAGTCCCCAGCTGGCCCCAGGTTCTGGGGAAATCCCCAGCTGACCCCGGGGCTTCACGGGTGCTCCTTTGAAACGTGGAGGCAGCATTTCCAAGGGGCAGCTGCTGCATAGTTGATCCCAGGCTCAGCTGTGCGGCGCTGCCCCTTAAAACTCCACCTCCACATTTCAAAAGGGCAGCACCGTGGAGCCTGGGGTCAGCTGGGGACTCGCTAGCTGATCCTGGGTTCTGCTGAAATGCTGCCGTGCATCCCAGGCTCCACGGCTTTGAAATGCACAAGAGACCCCGCTAGCCCCAGGCTGTACACGGAGTCCCACGTTCCTTGTACATTTCAAAGGAGGAATGCAGAAGTGCCACTCAACTAGTTAATTAACTGCAATTTAACATCCTTACTTTGTAAACCTTTACGCACAAACTTCTTGAAAATTCCATGGAGTCCCACTGGCTTCAAATGGCACTACCTTATAAGTAAAGTTACACATCTGCTGAAGAGTTGACAGGATCAGGGATTATGTTCCAATATTTTGTTTCTGCCTATAGCTATATTATAAAATTCAAATGAGACCTTCAAAGGGATTTGAAAAAAAAAAAAAAAAAAATGTAGCCCATGTTAACCGAAATTGCAATAGCAAAAAAAAAAAAAAAAATCCAAATTGGTTCTACAAATTTACAATGGGACCTAAATCAATGGACTTTGAACAGAGACAAGTAATTCAATGATTTAATCCTCCCCTCAAATTACAGCAGAATGCGTTACACATTTTAACAACTATTCTCCAACCTGTTTTAAGTACTATTTTCATTGCAATTAACTCAAATGTTTTTGCTAAGTTTAGCAAAACCTATCCAAACACAAAAAACTCCTGAACCTGAGTGTCAGCATAACTGTCAGCTGCTCATAAATCCCTTGTTATTTGGCAATGTCACCTCTTTCATCTGAGTTAGGCTAACACAAGAGTAGTTGACTAGACTATAGCTATCCTGTAGTGAGGATGTAGTCTCACAGGGCATTTTAGAAAAGGTACACTAAAAATGCTGAAAGCTTATTTAAATCATTATGTTTGGAACAGTATAATTTCTTATCACTCCAATTATACTGATTTTGTTCAAAAATCTGAAACATCTCCAAAGTACTACTAATGCTTCTTGAAAATAGCTCCAGATTAAAAACATGGATTTAACTTCATTTTAATTAGATATAGGAGATCTGAGACATCTGCTTAACAGTGTTCTATCATAACCATTAGATATTAATGAGACAAAAACCAATTTCCAATTGGTTTGTTTTCTCAATTTTTGTATCTCATTATACTGTGGCTTATTAGCGTGGACTAAATTTTGACAACATTAGCCTTCCAGTTTAAATACACCAAACATGCACAAATGTCACATGGTATGCAGACTATTATCAATTAGGTATTCAAAAAGGGATCCTTTCACCCTGCAACCAGAAGAAAGGGACTATCAATTTCTTAACTTAAAAACTATATTCCAGATCTCTTAGAGATGTGATTGAGTATCTAGATGCAAAATTAGCAAATCTAAGGGTATGTGTACACTGCACGTTTATTTCGAAAAACTATTCCGGAAGAAATATTCCAAAATAGCTTATTTTGATATAACAAGTCTACACTACAGCAAAGACTCAAAATTAGTCTGAGACTTCCCTAATGTGGACATGCTACTTTTATTTAGAGCCCCAGGAAGCACTGGGGAGTAATTACTTTGAATGGCCCTGGGGAAGAGCTATTTCCAAATAGCAGCAATGGAGCGTCCATACTACGGCTATTCTAAAATAGTATTTTCTGAACAGGCATTGTTCCTCGTGGAATGAGGTTTACAGATTCTGAAATAAGCTGTTCATTATTTTGAAACTATTTCAAAGTAACAGAATTGCTATGTTATTTCAAAATAATTGTGCTGTGTAGATGCACCCTCAAGGAATATTTGTCACATCTTAGTACCTCCCACTTCATTTAACTCTATTTATAACTTACCTATCAGAAACAGCTGTTTAAATCTAGTGTATGCAGCATGAATATCTTGAAGAGATGGAAGGCTGTTTGAAAGGTCATCAGTTTTCAAGACTTCATAAGGTGGTTTGTGAATTGTCTTATAAACTCTGAATAATCAAAGAAATAAAACCTTTCCTTAGAGAAACCTAAACACTAGTAGTTGTCACTAAAGGTAGCAAGTTCATATTCACACCTCCCCATCAACTGCTATGAGTGAGCCACATCCACCCTAACTTAATTAGCCTCGTGAACACCAGTCCTACATTTCCTATACTTATATATACACACACCCTTGCCTTTGTAATTTTCACTCCAATTCATCTGATGAAATAGGTTTTGCCCATAAAAGATTATGCCCTAATAAATCTGTTAGTTCCTCATTGGTTTTACAAAAGCAGACTAACACTGCTACCCTTCAGACTTTTCCCCACAAAAGGTAAGTCATAGTGCAATTCCTCCAGTGTTATGCGTTAAGTTCAAAAGAGGAAAAAGAAGTACAAGTAGCCCAATAACCATGATAAGCTTATTTTTGTTCAGAAATCTCAAGTACCTATACTAGTATAAGGCACTAATTTACTGCATGCATATATTTTATTTATATATATTATATATATATATATATACACACACACACACACACACACACGCATATGCATGCATTTTTTACCAGCATAACTGTTGACAAAAAAGTCACACCGCTTACCAATACAACTAATCCAGTAAACCAGCTATCTACTAGGAAAACAATCACAACATTAAGCATGATTTTGCCTTCAGCAGAGACAATGAATCATGTTTAAAAACTTGTTAGTGGTAGTACTTAAATGCTAGACAACTCCCAGTGCAGACAGGTTTTGGGTAGAATTCTTGGGTAGCTGAAGACAAAGGCCCAAGAGCAAAGTCAGATCTTGTTGTGGTTATTTGCTATTTTCATATGGTTCTTTACCTTTTGAAAGGAAATGTTTTTCAAAGCAATTCTGAAAGTTCATTCAATATATGCTTCCAAATTTCATAATGGACAGCTAAGAGGCCATAGGGAAGTGTTAGGAACCTTCACTACTGTTTCAAGCATGTGAAGTTGTTAATTAAGTTAGGCCCCCTAGAAAGATCCTTGTGATTATTTTATTTATCCAAACAAGCTAAGCTAACATTCAGCAGTTATTTATGGCTCTCCTTTATAATGAGCAGGATGGTAACCAAGAGCCAAGAAACTTCTCTTGAAAGGGCAGCTGGGCTCAGAGAACAACAATTTAAAACTCACTTTTCACTTCTTCCTTAGTCCAACAACCTAGTCCTATTTTAGGTAACTGGGAGCTGGCTTAGGGCTCCCAGTTCACTTAAACATAAAAAATAAAGTGAATTCAACTGCCTCTGTTGTTACTGTAGCTCACTGGGGTTAGAAATTGGTAACTACTCATGCTTAAGAGAAGCAGCTGCCTCATTTCCCCAGCCTGAATCAGTGCTGGAGAAGTAAGGTTTGAGATAAAAAAAACCTCTGACTTGAGCTTTTAAAAGGAGGGGTGTTTGCAGTTAATTTTCAGGCAAAGGATGGAAATAGAGCAAAGGCAATCTGCAGAAATTATAGGTTGTGCTGCTACTGAAGCTAAAGCCTGCAGTTAGACTGGGGATTTGGGGGAGGAAGGAACAAAGGAAACTCTCTCCACCTGTCCCAAATTAGTTTCCGCAGAGATTTATTCTGGTGAGTACGTTCATAGTTGTGAAATCACAAGAAAAAAAAAGTGACTTGTCCAGTGACACCACTATCATCATTTGGGTTTAAACCCATATTCCCAATAAGAAGCTGCTTTTAAACACACTGATAAGAAGAAAAAACTTTACCAAAAATAAACACCGGTTCAGACACAGAATATGAAAGTACAAGCATGGTCCATAAGAAGCACTTTTTTTTTTAAATGTCAAGGGCAGAATAACTATTACTGACCCATCCAAAAACAATCTGTGCATTTGTGAAGTGTTGTCTTCTTGTTCTTTGGGAAAAGCAGACATTTTGAGAAGAGAAGCACCATTATGGCAAGACCAACACCAAATCTGCAGGGAGAAAAACAAAACAAACAAATAAAAAACCACAACACTCCCACATTTACCTGGTTAGTTAGTTCTCTTATACATATAGAAGCATGTAATCCATATCATAAACTGCTTCCTGCTGCTTTACCACAGAATTTTGGGGCAGCCAGAGAATAATTCAGCAGCAATCTTGTACTTTTGAACAAACTATAAAAACTCCAGACACATTTTATAGAATTATTGTCAAGAAGTTTAATTAAGTACAAGCAATGGACAATGTAACATGTTGTATGTTTATCAAGTTATAGCAGAGACACTGGTCTTCCCTTAGGGCTTGTTTATACAGGGAAATTGACAATAGCTATTCCAGTTTCCCTGTACAGGCAAGATTTTAGACTGCTTTGCCTTGACCTACAGATAGACTAACAGGATAGAAGCTAAATAAACTCCTATGGTATGTGTGTTCCTAAAACTAGCTCACAAATAGTTATCAGCTTTACAAGCAAGTAAATCATCATGTCTCATCGGAAGATCAACATTTTGATGCACTGATGTAAATAATCCAAGTTCTCTTCAAGCAAGTCAGCTGACAAAGAATGAACACACCATAAAGAAAGTGAATGAACCTAGATTCCACACTTAAAAAAAAGCAACTGCCGAGAAGTTTACTTGAGGAAAACTTGTTCCTTTGTCCTTGCAATAGTCTAGACTTATGGAGTTAACACACGATGGCATCTCTTATAACAGTGACTCCTAAACTAGTCTCAAACTCACTTTGGACTCTGCAAATTCAGTAGCTTATTTCCTTCTCACACATCAGCAGAAACATGATGGCCAAATTATGACTCAGTGACTCTTATGCAACACCATAATATGTCAACTATTGCACAAGTGCACCAGAGTCAGTCTGGTCTATAAAATCTGTTAGTGTGGGAGAACTGCTTCCACACCCAAGAGAATTTTCAGGGTTAACAGTTCAGAACACAGCTTTATTTGTAAACTAAAATTTGAACTGGAGCCAGTGGTGCTATTTTACAATGACTAAGAGCTGTAATTTAAGAAGGGTTTGCATCAAGAAAACAACAAGGAAATAATAGGGTAATGTGACAGACATCTTAACTAGAATTAATTTGGTCATAGAAGTGATTTTTAAAACAATTTTTCAATTGGTGTTTAACTGGAAATTAAATGTACAGGACTCAGTCTTCCTTTCACTAAAGGAAGCCATCATAGTAACAGCAATCACTTCAGTTACTGGATAACAATACTGTACTCTGGCTTATTTGAAGATGAGATCAGAGAGCTATTTTTAATAAGGGTAATCAAAAGCAGCCAACATTCCTCCAGACAGTGTCTAGTTTAGAAATTAAAGGTGTGAAAGGACTTGCTTTTCATAGGCGAGTCAATGGGAGCTGTGGGTACTCAGCATCTAAGACAGAAGTCCTCAAAAAACTTAGGAGCACAGAAGAATGTTACTGGGAGGTGTCAGTGTGAGCCCCCAACATGGAGGGAGCAGCACCCAGTCCCTCCCCACCCCCAGCTCTGCTCACCCATAGCTGAGTCCCCAGCTCCTGGCCCCACATCTGACCCTATCTCCAGCCTTAGCGTGGCTCCAGTCTTGGCCACTGGCTGCAGCTCTGTTCCAGGCCTAGGGCTGAGGATGAGCTGGGTGTGGCATGAGCAACTGGCCAAGGCACAGCTGCCAGTCCCCACTACAGCTCTGCTCCTGCCCCACCTCACCAGCCCCAGCCTCAGAAGTTGGGGAGCATAGAACTAAGGTAAGTGCTCTTTATACAAAAGTCCCTTTGCTTTCTCTTCTATACTGTACCTTATATGTTCTTATGATGTGACCATCACGTTCAGAGCCTTAATACTCCCCACTCAAGTACTATCCTAAGCACAGCAAACAGCACCAAGCAGGGTCCTGCAGATGCCAAGGAACAAGTGCCCCTGGAGAATCTCAAAACCTCAAGAGACTAGTCAGAAAATGCATTAAGCACATGTGGTGCATTAATGCTCACAAATCTGTTGATAACTTTATTCAGATACGCAAGAAGAGCTAAAATAAAAACTGCTGCTCTATGTGTTCTTTACGGGAAGCTTTATGTACAACCTCTACTTTCAGCTGCTGTTACTTCTTTTACAGACAAGTCTGCTATTACAGAAAGGACTTTAATAGTGTAATATAAGCAACACTAAGACTATTTAAATAATGTATAATTTATTTGTAGAAGAATATAGTCTGCAATTCTAGTTACAATTTTCCTTTCCCATCTACATTTGTTCACACTTTAGCATTGTGTGTGTGTATATATATACTCACTGGAATGCCTCTTCCTTGGTGCTGCAAGATACTCTCTTCAGAAAGGGACATGGGAACAACAAAATACAATGGTAATCTACAGGAGAGAGAAACATTTCCTATAGCAAAGAATTCCACAGCATATTCAATACCACTCATATGATGCTGGAAGTCCTAGCCACAGAATCAAGATAATTAGAATTACTAATTTCCTACATTAATCAGTAACTATATGTTCTGAAGACACACTAATGTCCAACTTTTAATGACATTTGATACAAAACTCAGTACTTGCAATATGTTATCAAAATAATTTAGTAACATCTTGAGAACTCACATTCCATTATTCTGAGACTTGGTACATTATCTGAAGTCAAAAGCTTAGTGATAATCATAATGTGTTGAATCCTAAAAATGAAAGAATTTCCACTTGAAAATAAAAGTCTTGTCTAAACCTGAAGTGACTTGCTGATATAGATATGAAATTCTCTCCAATAACTATAGTTTGAATCAGCAAGAGAGGGTTTAGGGAGTTTTGTTGCCAGCATAACAGCCAAATCAATTCCCCAGAGTAAACTACTCTGGCAAATGACCTTTTTATTGAAATAACTTCATCCCTGAACTTTGCTATTCCAATAAAATTTTAAAGCATACACCAGATTTAAGTGTTTCCTATGTTGCTTGAAGCCTTGGAGAAATATTCCACGAGAGGATAGATATTTACCACCTATGTTCATCTCTGACCTTTGAAACCAACAATGGCTTTAATACTGAATTTGCCACACACACACTTTAGATTTCAAGCTTACCTTTCAGAGACTTTGTAGGCTTCATTGGCACTCACTACTTTATATTTCATGTTCCCTTTGGTCCGTTCCAACTCTTCACGCCAATCCTTAATAGTATCAAACATCACAGTTTGGTTTTGAGAGACTGTCAAGAGAAATCCAATTAGGTATTATTTTTACAGAGGCAGTTGTGATTACAATGAAAAATGCTTTTGCAGTAGCAAAGTAAAGCAACCACTTTACGTGCATATATAGAATGCCTCATGTGAATGCTTTAAGCACACCATGTTCATATGCCTATATGCAAAACATTGTATGCTTCTGTCTGATCTTTACTACTGATTTTTAGTCAAATGTTGCTTAAATCCAGACAAGCATTCCTAAAGTAACAATGCACATTGAAGAGTTTTTTATATGCTTCCACATGCTTAAAGGCTAGTTAGCAGCCTACAGCCAAGATCCACTGTGTACTCTGCAGGATTTGGCAACTACTACTATTTATTCTTCTTATATGTGGCGCCCTGTTCTCCCACTTTGTCTTATCTATTTGGATCATAAAAGCTTTAGGGCAGAATCTGTCATTTTCAGTGACAAGAACATTATGTCCTCAGTGCTTTAGACCTTTAAACCCTACCGCAAGATAAAAAAACCCTAAAATTTCAAACTAAGCACCTGAGCCAGCATCATGGTGCATTAGAAAGCCTCTTGATAAAATAGATGTTTCTGGTGTGAAAAGAATGAAGGATCAGCAGCAAACTCATTTGAACAGGAGTATTACATCAGCTAGTTTTCTACAAAAGCCAGCAATTCAAAAAATTACATTATCTACACTACAACTGTTTTGCTTGTTCAAAATATAACAAGCCACTCTCGCGCTTCATTAGCATGTTCCCGGGGGGGGGTCGCCATTTTGGCCATTTTGGAAATTGACTAGCCTGGAGTAACTGTCCGGGTCTACACGCGGCAGTGAAACGGGAGTTCGAAGTAAACCCCTTAACTCAAATTAGTTGTTAAACCTCATTCCACGAGGAGTAACAGCTAATTCGAGTTAAGGGGTTTACGTCGAACTCCCGTTTCACTGCCGCGTGTAGACGCGGATGGTTATTCCGGGCTAGTCAATTTCCAAAATGGCAACCGCCCGGGAACATGCTAATGAAGCACGGGATATTTAAATCCCGTACTTCATTTGCAATTTCGGTCGCCCTCATTAGCCTCCCTAGTTCGAACTAGGGAGCTAGTGTAGACATAAACATTGTGACTTAACCAGCCATGGCTGAGTAGGAACCTTTCACAAATAGTTTTGCTGAATTTATTTCACTGAAATCTTTTGCATTAGTGTAAGTTACTATCCATGCTAAAATGACCAGTTCATCTTTCCTAAATGAAAAACTCAATCCTGGAATAAGAGTAGGTATGTTTATATCCAAAATCTATAGGGTCACTCGGTGACCCTGCCCCCAGGGACTACAGAATAGTCGACTAACCGATAAAAATTCATGAGGTTATTCAATTAACAGGGTCACTCAGTCTAAAATGTGACTGCAGGAAGTTATGCTAACCCTTCTCATAGTATTTTAGCCAAAACAGAAATAAAGAGTATAAAAGGGAAAAATAAATCAGGAGGAAAAATTGTATACCCAAAATCTCTGTGCAAGTTGATCATGAACAAGTTTAATCTAATAATGCTTAGTATTCTCAATTGTTAACTGACTATCCATTTAATCCTGCCCTTTAATGTATTCTGATCTTCACAATAAAGTATTCAGATAGAACAAGTTTTGAATTAATTTTACTGGACTATCCTCCTATAGGGAACAGTTAGCCCCATGAGTAATACAGGTGATGATGAGAACAATTCCTCCCCATTTAATCCATCCTCTTGATTGTCCTCCTTTGTATCTACATTCATCCTTCCACCTTGGAGATCATTAGTGTGTCAGGGTCCAAAAATCCCACATCTTTCTCTGGGTTAAGCATTTTACTTAAGCTTGATATCACGTAAAACCAAATTACCCAAAAGCCCACTGGGGACTAGGAACATGCAGCAGGCACATTTGGAGATTTTAAAAGCAACCTACAAGAAACTCTACTCTGTAAGTGAAAATGTTCAGAGGATTATTACTTGGCCAAATTTGGTGATATGGTCACAGGTCTAGCACACTTCTGGGCGTTAAAAATCTCAGACATAGGCAAGGAAGCAAGAATGATGGTAGTTAAAACAACCTAAAAAAAACAACCAAGTTTACCTGTTTTGGTTGGTGCGGCTGTGGCATACGAGAACAGAAACAAGCGTTTAAGTAGCTTAGGAGTCTGGCTATGATGAACTATGCCACTGACGATCTGAGAAAGGACCAAAGATATACATGTATATATGAGATTGTAATAAAAAAAGTCATGTGAAGAGCAGCTGAATCTCAATGGCAAAGCCAGGAAGAGATTACACATTTTAAACTGACATTGTCAATAAGGTTTAAATAAAGCAATCTATTAAAAACCTGGTTAAAAGTTTTAAAATATGGCTTTCCCCAAGCATCTGTGCAACTTCTATGTCTGGCACTATATTTATAAGGCAATCCTGAAACTATAACATTTTACTTCAATTTTTTTTAGCTCTTTGGTCAAGATTTATACAGGCAGTCCCCGAGTTACGTGGATCCGACTTACATCGGATCCCTATATACGAACGGGGCTTTTCTTGCCGCGGAGGATGCGGGCGGCGGGACCTCCCAGACGCGCCGCGGTCCCGCCGCCCGCGTCCTCCGCGACAAGAAAAGCCGCTCCGCATCTCCTGGTCTGCTGGGTGGGCCAGCAGACCAGGCTTTTCTCGCCGATGCCTGGGGTAGAGCAGCTGCGTCCCCAAGTCAGCCGCTGCTGAAACTGACCAGCGGCTGACTACAGGAAGCCCAAGCCAGAGCTGCTCTCCCTCGGACTTCCTGTAGTCAGCCGCTGGTCAGTTTCAACAGCGGCTGAATCTGGACGCCAGTTCCGACTTAAATACAAATTCAACTTAAGAACAAACCTACAGTTCCTATCTTGTATGTAACCCGGGGACTGCCTGTACTTTCTGGAGGAATGTCTTAAAAGTTTATAGAAAGATCATTAAGTGAACTTCATCCTAGACTAGGGCTCAGCCTTAGTTTTAGTGCACCCATTGATACCAAAGCATCTGATAGAATTTCACCTGAGTACATTCCTGTGATGTGTGTGTTCATTTTCCTTAATGCCAGCAAGAGTTGCATATGTGCATTATTATGACTATGCTGCCTAGTTCTCTCTCATTTGTATAGTGTCAGAATTGGACATTCTTCATACCGTTAAAGTTACTACACCACCCTTGATCAATGTAAAAAGCTATGCATTAGGGATGTAGTAGTATAGTCAATTAACCAATAAGCAAAAGCTTATAGGTTAATACTATAGACTACACGCATTTCCCTCCCCTCCCTGCCATTCAATTTTT